ATTTAATGAGAAAATCAGTCGTTCAGCACGTACGTTTTTAAATTTTGTACATGTTGGTTTTTAAAGACTCGTGGTTTCACTTAACTTAGCTTATCATGCTTTCTTATTAATATTTTTAGTAGTGTGGAAAATAAATACATGAAAAAGAAAACAAAATACAGTCGAACCTGTATTTAGCGGCACCTTATAAAGCGGTCAGTTGTCAGAGTCCCCAAATGATTTCCTCTTAAACACTGTAATTTTCTTCTCTTTTTTAAGCAGTCACCTCTTTTAAGCGGGTCGTGGCCTGGTCACCCTTCACCAAGTCACAACGGCCTGTATTTTTCGCCTTCCACCAATGTCGAATAGTCAGTTAAAGCGGAAATACTCAACGAAAGACAAGCTTCCAATATCATGCGTTTTTTGGAATCCGATTCCAACAGTTGGAATAATTCGTTAGGTTGGTTGGCTCGAGTTAAAAATTTATTTTATCTTATGCTTACAAAAGATCGAATTGAGCATCTAAGTGGAAGGCAAATTGCTACATGCATTTTACAACATGCATTTCTCCTCAGTCATTTTTAAGTAACAAAGTTTACGTAGACCTTTCAGTCAAAGATTATTTTCCACAGCGTTTTTCTGATCTTTTCTTATTCTTCGTTTTTTTCCGTCAAAATCGTTTCAAGTTCATGTTTACCTCTCAATAAGTTATGATTCTTATATATTTCGTTGGCATTCGGTTAACAGGAAGTTGGAAAATATTTGTTGTAAAAGTTTCTCTTTAGCCATCGAATATTGTGCATAGATCGTTTTCTTCTGGCACTCAATACTTTTGTAAATGAGTAATGAGGTGAGTTATAATACAACTGAAACATCGATTACAGATCACCCTTATAAATCAAACCCACCTGCGTTCATCCACTTTCATCTGAAACCGTTGGCGGAAAATTTGATACGCAAAGATGTAACTGTAGCCATGGATTTGTCTTTCTCTACAAGGTGTGGAGTGCCTGCTACAGTGAACAGACATTGTCGAAGAGAATTGTAACTGTAAAAATATTTAAGAGCGGTCGTCGAATAAAATCGAGCAGAGATGTTGAAAATAGAAAAATTGAAATTTTTTCAAACTTTGCCAGAACATAGCTATGAATGGCCTTAGTTACGGAAAAATATCAATAATGCCGAGAAAAATTATTTTGGGAGAACGGTGGCATTTTGTGTTTTGGGGGTTCGTAACCGTGTTTTCTCGGTGAAATAGTGCACCTCAAGATAATAGCCGAGAAAATTTTATTTCAACAGCAATTCGGAAACCACATAACAATTCTAAAACGAGAGATGTTTCTCAAAGGTTCTGAAGTATTTTTTCCAAGATTCCTTAAAACTGATTTTTTTACGAATTTTCTAATTCAGGTAAAATTTCACTCATCAAAACATAGCTCAACTTTGGCGACTAAAA